ATTTGCGCTTTTGCATGTTGTTGGCGTACTGACAGCCACGCTATCTATATTCTGATTAAGAACAGGGATGCCGCTGACGCGGCTCAGGGGTTACATCACACACAGCGCTGTGCTCTAGTGCCTGTAAAGGTAATTTAAAAAAACAGGACATTTCCTCACTTTCTAAAAAAAAACCGGGACGCTCGGGACAGGACGTGAAATACTAATATGTCCCGGGAAATACGGACGTTTGGTCACCCTACCTTTAGATGATATTCTGCATAAAAAATAAGTGAAATAACGGTAAATTCGGTTTTAGTAATCAACTGCTTATAGTGTTCAAATTGGCTCTCGACCAACGTGATCACTAGTGATTCAATAAATTAGTCCAACTACGGCAAGCCATATTGAATAAGTGTTGGATGAGTAAATATGCATGAGAAATGTCTTGTGTGGCATGGTGCGTAAAAGTTTGTCTAATTGCGTCACTGTTACATTCAATGCGTGACCCTTGGCAGCCCTATATTTAATATTTTTTTTATATAGCCCTCTTAACAATGGAAAGACAATACACCAATCAGTCAACAAATTGAGCTGTACCAGGGAATGTATATGAAGCACGGTGTGTTTTGTGCAAGAAGTCATTCCAGCTCGGTACGATGGGAATCAAGGCAGTGGAGTCAGGCGTGTAAAGCTGAAACACAAAGCGTCAAACTCCAGTTACCAAGAAGCAGGATGCATTTCTCAGTTCTGTTCCACCCTTGTCTCTGCAAGGCCTCCACAGCCATCTATGACAACAGCGCCAGTAGCACCAAATATCCAGATATTGTTTGGCGGTACAATGAAAGCAGAGGTGTTGTGGACTTTGAGTAGGGAACAAAACAAAGTTTGTGGATTCAGTATAGTTGATAAAAATATATCTGTTATTTGTGTGTTTTAAGCTTTCTTTTTCAGAATTTGAAACTTTTGTACTGGCCCAGAAAGTAATGGATAATGTTAAAATAGACATTAATATGTCACTGCCCAGTTTTTCTTCAGTTAATTGTGAAGTTCATCTCAACTTTTTATTTCAAGTGACATTAAAAAGTCTTAAAAAGTCTTGAATTTAACTTGCCTTATGCTGTAGGAACCATGTTCTCTTGGGACATGACAATGGCCAAACTGTAAGAATTCTGTCCTTTAACATGTGAGCTGCTGTTGAAAGCCCTGCTCTGTCTTTGCTGTTGGTCCTTGGGTCGACAGATCACCCACTTTGCTCGCTGTTTGTGGGCAGAAGCCCTAGTGTTGCCTGTGTATGGCAGCCTGGGGTCTGTCACTCTGCTCGAGGGTAGCTGTAACTAAGTTTAGCTTGCCATCATCCGTCTGCGAATGACAGTTAAGAGCTTCAGGTTCTATGGACTTGAAAAGGCCATTTAGTCAAAGATATATCAAGTTTCCTTATTTAACAGATCAGTGTAACTTTGGAATGACATCAGGTCTGTCTGTTCTAGATCAAGTATTCAAGGCTTTCAGTGTTTTGGATCTAGACTAGATCTAATCACTGAGTTGAAGGTTAAGAAAAAAATAATTAGACAAACATTTAATTTAAAATACTTTGGTTTTGTGAATTCCACATCGATGTAATTAAATAGTGTTGTCCATATTCTTAAGTTGTTTTTGTCTGTTTTGTTTACTTACTTTGTATGACAGAAATGAAAGCTTAAACATTTTAACCTGAGTAAGTAATCAGAAGAATAATTAGATGAAATAATGGAATTATTTTCTAAATTATTAAATGGGTCGTTAAATGGCAAAAACTAAAAACAGTTTTCTAAAAAAGGTTTGTAATAATATTTTTGACAGAAGAAACTGTCTTTTGACAGTTTCTTCTGTCTTTATTTTATTATAAAGGTTTCTATTATCCATTGAGAGATAGCAAGTAAGGTGGAGTTATTTAAAAAAAGGCATTTGCCTTGGAAACATTGAAGGGCTGAGAATAGGCACACCTTTGTTATGAGTTTGACACTAACATTTGCCTGTTCTCAGGCATTGTGTCACACATTTTGCATGAGAAGCCTTAAACCTTTGTACAAATTAATAGCCTATTAATGGATTAATTAAATTAATAGATCTTCAACAGGGGGTCCATGGAGGTACTGCATGGGGGTCGCGAAAGTTTATGTTGATAAGACTTTTTTTTTTTTTTATATTCCCCCCTGCTATTTTTTCCACTAAATGAGATGTCTTTAAATCCACATTAACATGAATTTAACACACTGTGGTAAACAGATAAATGGAGGCAGAAGATGTCTTTCAGTCATCAATGCACACATTCTGCGACACACAGGAGCTCTTTCAAGCTGGACACCGTTTTATTCACAACACCTGTCCCATCAACCAGGAGTCAGAATCAGGAATACTTTAATAGTCCCAGGGAGAAATTACTTTCGTCACTTTACTCTATATGTAATAGAGGGACTATGGGACCCGTTTGATATAACACAATTTTATACAATATATGTAATTAGGGGGGTCCCCGCTCCATCTCGGGTCCTTGGCCTGGACAACGATGAAGACCCCTGGCTTATTTGGTAATCCCATGTTCTGTCTTCATCATAGTAGATATTTCCTTTGCTTGTCTGCAAGGGAGAATCGTAATAGAATAAACCTTTAGGTTGATTTTTGCTGCTCTCAAGTCAGTTTTATTTTTTTGTTTTAATGGCAAGGGTGAATTGTAAAATTTTAAGAATAAAACTATTAAAAGAAGAAACTATTTACAAAGCACCCCTCACAGATATAACCCTCCCGCTGTTGCAGCATACCACAACCTGGCAACAGCGCAGGCACCGGGGTACAAGGTCCAGGGAGTAGTCACGGACCCACCAGGGCCTAAATGCAGAGACGGAGAGACAACGATGGAGAGGGTGTACAAAGGTCTGATGGACATCGCCACCACCGCCTTGCTTGGTGCGTTTCTAGCTCTCTGCTTACTCCCTTAGATAGTGTAACATCTTTGAAAAAGAAGACTTAGAAAATAGAAAGCTGTATCCGTGGTTTAATGCAGAGCAGCACACTCTGAAGAAAAATGCTATAAAAGTGGAGAGCAAATGTTGCCCCAGATGCCTACAGGAATCCTAGCTAGTCTGGAAAATAGTTTATTGCAGTTAGAGCAGCATATTTCTCCTCATTAATAGAGGAGAGTAAGAATAATCCTGGATATCTTTTTAATATAGTTGCCAAATTCCCCCAGAGACATAGCTCTGTTGAACCGTTCATTCCAGCTATACTTAGCAGTAATTATTTTATGAGATTCTTTATAAATAAGATTGACTCTATAAAAAATTACAATTTCATTATAAATAGTTATTCATAATTAGCACGCCTCTAATTTATAATTGGTTTGGCAGCATTTTAGTTAACCATAGAATTATAACCGGGTTTAGACTACTTTGCTAACTTTTAGAGTTAGCAAAACTATTATCTTCATTCAAGCCTTCCACTTCCATGTT